GTTCCGCGTTTCATCAGGAACCCGGGTGAGCCATGGTCAAATCTTCGTCTTACCATGGACATCGCCTCTCCCGTATCAAAGGATTTTTTGCACGCGCCGCGGAGTTCTGGGCCTCCCGGCACCACTTGATTCATGGAGGAGGGCGGATTGTCCAGCAGCTGGGTCTCTGTCTGAGCTCGGACACAACGTGGGTGAGCCTTTCTGTGATCATAGGATGGTTGGGAAAGTCGTGTGGATGGACAAAATGCAAGAGTTATGGACGCTCTGACCCGCCCTACAACCATCTACAAGGGTGTGTGTTTTGGTTGAGGCTCGGTGCTCTTGGTTACCGGAAACAACAAGAGAGACCAAAAGGAAAACCGAAATCCAGTTTGGGGCCCCCTTGGATCCGTGGATTCCCATTACCGCAAGACAAGGCATCGCGGACATTAGCCTTCGCCCTAATGTTCCACAAGGCGGCGAGCTCGGCCAGGGTTGCGGACACCGCCAGAAGATGGGGCTGGATTGCCGTGAAGCTTCCCTAAGCAGTTCCCTTTCCCCCACTGGTATGTTTCTCACTAAACGCTAATAACCCTTACTACAAACCCCTTGAAATCAGGTACTGGCAAAAGGGGAACCCTTGGTAGACATCATTTGTCTGCCGAAGAGACGCCAATGTCTCTTTGGAAAGTTAGTCTGTGATAGAACAAACTGTCAACTGCTGATCAGCTGGAGTTGACACATACCTGTTCATAATGAGCACGCCGCACGCCAAGGGCTAAAGACAAATGTCAGACTCTGAGCCAAATTGCGTAAACTTGCAGATCTGCAGTAACGTGAAACTGGTCCTAGCAGAAGTACCTTTTCTTCGCGTGTGCATGGCGCGTCGGAGACACGTTCAGCAAGTAAAGTCGGTTAAACCCGGTCAACACGGACGGTACCAACACCCAAACATGAGCAGCGATCCAAGCAATCCTTCGAGCCACATTGCTCAATGAGACATTCCTGTTTGGCTTTTGTTAATTTGAGTTTCTCGCACCCAATCTGGGCAAACCCGCCGCCCTCAAAAACGTGAGCCAGATCCCTATTTAGATCACAGAGAGCTTCTCAAGCCCCGCCAAGCTCAAGTTCACCAACAGTGGATAAACAGCAAAAGTATTCTAGAAGGGGCACAACCTCTTGGAGAGGCCCTGGAAACAAATCCCAGCGCGACACCTGCAATGCCTGTCGCAACACAGGTTGCACCTGCTCAAACGTTGGTGCTCTGCTCACATGAAGAGGGTAGAAACATCAAAGAGACAGCGCAGCCGCTGCTGCCGGGCGACCTTCCCCTCAGAGGATCTCATCTGCACCTCTGCAAGCTGTCTGCGCAGCCCGAAACAATGAGTCAACTGGTTATGTTCAATTCCTGCGCCTGCAGCAGAACATCTCTTGTGAGGCGCACTGAATCGCAATCGAGACGAAGAGCCAACTGACGACCCGGCACACCCTGCCAGCGCTGTCCGCAATCACCAAGAGGATCTCTTCCATCAGTTTGCTGGTGTTCCAAGAACTGATTACCCGCCACAAGTAGACGTTCGGCGGCCACTTCGCTACTGGCTTTTGCTGGCAACAAATGCCGGACGCCAATCCAATCCAGATCTTTCACAAGGCAGCCTGCAACGCTGGGCTTGCAGCCACCAGCTCGGCAGAAGTGACACTGCCCAGTCGAAGACGTAAGGGGGTTGGCTGTGAAGACCACGCTCGCGAAACAAGATTGCCCCTGCTGTCGTGGAAGCTCTGTGGGATAGAAGTCTCGTCCAGGTTCACCCACTCAATCTGAACATCTTGCAGCCGGGCTTGGCGATGAAGAAAGTCCACCGGAAAATTGACAGGCGAGACAAATCCAAAAATAACGACGGCGCCCCCACCAAAAATAACGGAGCTTGTAGACACAACGCGCTAAGCTGTTCTGCGCAGCACACTGCCTGCGGGCAGAAGTTGCGCTGCCAGGCGGAGCCAACATAAACACACAGATTCTACCAAACCGGCAATCCTCAAACAGTACCGCGCGTGGGCCTGGCCCCAAAGGCCCACGCTTCAAAAGATCACCGGTCGCAAGCGAGGCAGGGCGCGCTTTGTCCCCTGCACGAAAGCCTCAATTGGGCAGCTCCAGCTTTGGCCTATCTGCCCATCCCAGCCCTCCGCAGCTCTAAGTGGGAAAGGCCCCAGGGTTTTGGACAAACACTACGCTGCCTCCAGACCCAAGGCCCCAACCCCCACTCCCCAGCCTCCGTGCCAATCTCGCCAAATCTTGCTACAACCCCCCACCCCCCCCCTCCCCACTCAGAGCTCAAGCCCAGTCCGGCCACCTCGTTGGCGGGCCCCCGCCGCTCGAGTTCAAGTTCCTGGCTATACTTTGCGCAGCCCCACCAGACTGCAGGCGGGCAGCGTTCATTTCTACTATAATAGTTCACCAAGCAAATGTAACGGACTCCAAGAAAGGAACCTTCATTGTGGGTGACGTCGAAAATCTCCCCTTGTGACATCATCAGAACTTGCCCAGACCTAATGGCGTTCCCAGTACAAATAAATATTGGTGAATAATGGCCGTTGCCCCACGCTTCTCCCCTGCTCCCTCGCATGAGCAAAGGCCCTCACCACCACAGGCGTGTCTGGTGACAAAAAGCCCGGGCTCCTGTTCAGACGGGTGCTCACCCACCAAATGGTGATCCGAAAGCCGGATCTACAAATGTGTCGAGCTGACTCCTGAAAATGCTTCAACCGTTTTGTTGTTAGGGCCCGAATTAGACCGCCTCAAAGAGAATTCACCAAACTGAACAGAAAACTGGACCCCCAGAGAAAGGAACCTACAAAGTGAATGGAAGTGGAGAAATTCAAGCCTTTGAAGTCGCCAAAAGTTGGCAAGTCGCACGATCATAACGCAAGTGAAGCCTTCTCAAGTGAAGCCTTCTCAGCCGGCACCGCTCAGAGTCGAATTATTTTGCAACACCTTCACGAGAGATACTCCAAAGACCCTCGCCTATAAAAAGTTGAGCGCTGGTGAAAGGAAAACAAAGGAAGCCACTCCAAGTTTGCCATTCTGTGGTGGTCATCTAAAAGAAACGGCCTCGGAGCAACACTGTTCGTTCAGGGTACTGGTTGCTCAGGGCTTCGCGCTGCGGAATAATGTTCATGCAGTCTCCCACCC